TCTGAAGAACCCACTCCGAGGCTCTGCTGTCCCTCTCACGCCTGCCCCTCTCCCTGCTCCATTTTGCTCCTTCTCTCTCTCTGCCCATATTCCTGCCATCCATTTTTAAGGTTCCGCCCCCACTCTGCCTCCTCCCATCAGCCTCCTTTAACCTGCCCAGGCCGGAGCACATGCCGAGTGGTGGCTTTTGAATTTTATTGACTGCAGCCCATGGGTAGAAACACGTAGTGCCTGTCGCCCGCACAAATGCCCAGGCGCGTGCTGTCAGTTCGAGTCTATTTAGCGCAGTCCTCATCTTCATCTGCACATTGACGCACAATCCAATAGATGGGTCAGCTTCCCTGCCTCTGGCATCAGTGGTGGTGCCATCGTTGGAGATTTTGCCCCGTGTCGGCGTCATAAGCTCCCCGGGAGCTGCTTCTCTGTCTGCACTGGGGGCCTTGCCAGGCTTGGCCTCAACAGTCCCCAAGAAATCCCCCTACATTCATGTCCCGTGACTCCCACCTTTTAGGGGTTGCGGTCGACCGCCTAGAATAGTTTGTCGATTCAGCAGCCTCCTGCGCCCTGGCTTTTCCTGCCAGTAGATGTGAAGTTAGGTAAAATTGTTTTAGGAGATGTCTGAGAATTTTAGTGAGGCTTCCTGCGACTGCGGTATGCTGCTTCAGTATTTCATGCAAATACGCTTCAGCCAGCACCCTTTCACCTGGACTTTCCTAAAAAGACCCCACGCTGTGAGTGGAAGAATTCTGTGTCTTTGGCATGGAAAGATTTCGTACACTTCTGTTTTGTCCCGAGGGATGTTTTGTACCCTGTACAACAGGCTCCTGCAGAAACAGTGTTTTTTCCACATGGATGTGAGAAATGGCCTGGCGGTCGTGCAGGCCCTCACGCAGGGCGTGCAAACGTGGCTCGTTTGTCATTACTGCAGTGTTCCTGGGCGTGTGTCCTCTCCTCTGCCCTCTCGCACGCTCACTCTAACCACGATTGCTGTCAGTGTTTGCTTCCCTTTTCCAGTGCTGTTCCAGAAACCCGCCACCGTTTAAGAGAGAAAAGGCACACTTCTTTTCACTAAAGTGCGTCTCCTGCCTCAGGATGCCAGCCCCTGCCCGGGTGCATCTGGTCCACACTGGTTCTTCCTTCTATTCAGAGCAGTGAGATGTGCTTTACCCTTAGACCCACCTCACAGCAGGGAGAGAGCTCGCTTTTGTCCAAAGCATGGCATTTGATACAGCTAGCTAATTACGAATTTCTATAGTCACGCATCCGAGAGGACATGCCTGCTAACACCCCCCAAGGCTGAGCTGCAGGGCAGGGCAGGAGTTCTTTCCAGAAACACTCCTCTCCTGGCAGCCTCGTGCAATGACCTGTTCTGGGTGTTTGTCACTGAGCTCAGTGACATACACACGAGTTGTCTCCTGTACTAAAACTAGGATGCCCAGTCCTCTCTGACTTACACAAATACTGGACCTTTGGCATCGCTTTTTGGCTATAGGTTTTGCATTGGTGAAATGAGAAAATTGGCGGGGTTATAATCCAGGGTCAATAAGCTTTCTTCATTCTGTGAGTATGGGGAGGTGGGACCAGCTCTCATGACCACAGCAGGGAGGGAGGCGTCCTGTTAGCCCTGTGCGTGCATTCCTAGTGCCCGTGGCCCTCCTCTGACCACGTGGTTCTGTCCACTTCACTTCGGTTTTCACCCGACTGCCCCATTGATCTCACAGCTTACCTGTCTCCCTGGCAGCCAGTGTCTCCACTTGGATGTCTAAGGGGCATTTCAGATAGAACATGCGTGAGCAGAATTTTAGATGTTTTCCGCAAAATCTCTTCCTCCGCGTCTCCCTCATTTCTGGACATGCATCACCAGCTTCTGTGTTGCTTAAACAAAACGCCTGGGTGACCACCAGGATTCCCCACCTCCTCCCACGCTCACTCCCCTCTACCTGCGTCGCCGCCTTCGTGCTGCCTGAACCTCCCTCCTGGGCCAGCTGCACAGGCGCCAGTCCTTGCTTTCTCTGCCCGGGTCCTTCTCCTCCTTGGCCATCAGCTTGGCCTCACATCCTCAAAGACAACCTCCCCCCGGCTCCCAGTCGCTCTCTTCATCGTGCCCCAGCCCATCTCCACCTGGTTGTCTCCTGCTGGACCCACCACCTCCCCAAGGAAAGCTGTCCTTAACTCCTCAGGATCTGTTTCCGGTGTCTTGAATCTGTATTTCTGCCAAAGTTTGTAATTATTTGCGTGTCTGCCTCCTCCTCCCAGCAGGAGAACCCATTCTGTCAGAGGACAAAATCGGATCCTAGTTCTCCTTGCACCATACAGTTCAGAACAAGATATTCATTAAGCAGAGAAAAGAGGAACTCTGTAGAAGGGTGAGGAAGAGAGAGGTGGGGGCAGTCAATCGCTAAAGATCCCGCGCAAACGAGTTACACTGCCAGCTAGCACTGTTTTCTCATTTAATCCCCTTCCTCAAAACCCACACACAGCCAGCCCTGTGATGATATTTAACAGCTGCCCGCAGGGCAGGAGAGGAGGGAAGGGCCTAACCTCTATCGTTCGCCGCTTTCCGTGGTGTAAACACTCCCATGATGGCTATTTCAGGCTGCTGACATGATGTCACTGAATGGAGGATTGGGGAGAGACTTGTGAGCTGACCCCAGCGCACCCCAGCACAGCTCCCGGCCCCTTACCCCCATCATGGTCCCAGCCTCCGCTGCCTTCAAGCATGTACTCGACAAATAATGATGCTGTGTTCAAGTGCCAGGTTTCAATGAACGAGAGTCGGTCCATTCACTGTACCATATCTTTGACTTTGGCTTGGTGTTTCCAAGCCCTAGGATGTGTTTTGCTGAAGAACTCTCTGGGGAAGAGGTTTCAGAACATACCAGTTTCTATTCAACAGGTTCATCGCATAAACATATGTTGGACATTTATTATGGGAGAGGCACTAGGCTGCACGTAGGGGTTTACAATCGTCACACAAGGTGTGTTCTGCCCGGAAGTAGTGTACCGTTTGAGAAAGTCAGTCTGAGTGGTTGACTGTTCCCTTAAATCAGGGTTTGCTGGTATGAAAGATGCTGTGTTCTCCCATGATTCCCCCGGGAGCCTGAAACTGTGCACCTGTCCCTCTGTGTCCCACAGTATGTAAGCTGTGCCTCACACATATTTATACCATGCCCACTAAGTGATTGTTTTTGTTTTGTGACACTTGCTTCCTGTCTCACTCTTTCCTGTTGGCTGCCTTCCTTCTGGCAGTGTGTGCATCCTCCTATCATCAGCTGGCGGGAGGCTGGGTAACCAGCTTATTAAATGGCGTGCAAAGAGACAGCATAGACTGAAAACTGAGATGGTGTCTTATTGGCCAAGAATGTGAGTTTTTGGTCAAGGATTTCAGTGTGTCAGACGGCAAAGAGTCCCTGGCTCCTTCGGGACTCCATTCCCAGTATTGAGATTGCTCAGGAGTGCCCCCCCCCACCAATGAATAACACCTTCCTGTGTGTTTTCATGCATTCTGAAATATCACTGTACACGTGACTTTAACAAAACAGGGTCTGAATTCATACCGTGGAATTCCACCATTGACGTTCTGCTCAGACAAATGGACTTAGCCACCTGGCAGAAAACATGGATTCATAGCATTCGCACAATTCTCATTTATAAATGCAACATGATGTGTGTGCATGTGTAGTGTGTGCATGTGTGTGTGATGGCTTTCAGGCAGAAATCTAAGTCAAGGTATACTTTCACACATCTGGGATGCTTTAGCATAGCATCATATTTCAGAGCTGATAATAGCCCTTACAGAGCTTTCTCCTCAGTGGTTTATTTTATCACTGAGGAAACTGAGGCCCAGAGAGAAGTGAACAAACTGAGTCAGCATTAGAACCACGTGCCAACCGTGTTCATGTATTTATTGCTCTGAACACTAGTTGACGGTCTAACTCCACCTTCAGATTTCGATTCTGCGCTCTCCATTGGCCGGGAGGGATGCAACTGATGGCAAAAACTAGGCAAAGAGCAGACTCTCTGCTCCTCTGACCATCCACATTGCCTGAATTAGATGACACTGTGCCCACATTTGAGGCTTTAGTCTTTCAGCAGTTACTCTTACTTAGAGGTAACATAGGTTTTAAAGCAAAATGAAAATGCGTAAACAGTCACTGTTGGGTTTTAAACTCCAGGAATGGCACAGGTCTGGTCCCTCCCTGATGCACAGTGCCTGTGCCTTTCCTGTCCTCCCATCTGGAATGCCTTAACCCAGTCTTCCTTGTTTACTAACCGCCTCCTCGTCATTACAGTCTCAGCCATCTCCCATTGGAAACCCTCCTTCCTCCTGGCAAATGTAGGCATCTGCCTCTTGGGCTTCCTTTACACCTGTCAGTTTTTGTAAAATGTACTGTTATCAGTTGATTCAATTGATGTCTCTTTCAACCAGATTGGATGCTCCTTAAGGGCTAAGATCTGATGTGCCTCTCTATTTGCCACACCTAGTGCAGTGTCTGGCTCAGGAGAAGCTTGTTGGTTAATTGGATGTATACAAGGATGGATATTTGGGTGCTCAGATAGAAGGAGGGAGGGGAAGGGAAGGAAAAGGAAGAAAGAGAAAGGAAGGAAAGGGGGAGAAGTGGTGGGAAGAAAGTGAAGGGAAGGAAATATGGGTGGATAGATGGATGGGTGGATGATGGGTGGATGAATGTATTGATGGATGGATGGATGCGTGATGAATGGAAGAATGAATGAGTTGATGGATGGATGGATGATGGTTGGATAGATGAATGGTTGGATGGATGGATGAATGGATGGGTAAATGATGGGTGAATGGATGACGGATGGGAGATGGATGGATGAGTGGATGGAGAGATGACAGATGGATGGATGGATGGGTGGGTGGATGTTGCATGGATAATGGGTGGATGGATGGATGGATAGGTGGATGATGGGTGGGTTAGCTATGGAACCTACAGACCAGCCGCCTTACCCTTTGCTCCTGTGTTTCCTTCTTGCAGGTCGTGGGCATTTTTGCTGGATTTGGGCTCTTGCTCTTGGTGGCCTCGCCTTTCCTGCTCCTGGCCACTCCATTTGTACTTTGCTGCAAGTGCAAGTGCAGTAAAGGCGATGACGACCCATTACCCACCTAGAGGAAGGCATGATGCTGGAACAAGACCCCTGCCTCCGGGAAGCGTGGCTCTCCCCAACCCCATCCTGCCGTCCCCCTCTCACTAAACATCTTTCTTGCCTTATGTGCCCCATTGAGCTTCACAGTGTCACGCTGGATGCCGTGATTTCAGGGACTGACGTCAGAACGTTTGCCAAGGCCCCGAGTGCAGTCCCCTAGGCATGGGGAAGGCAAGGCTGGCATGGGAGGGCACGTCCCCACAGAATTGGTCTCTGCAGACTTGACAAGGGAGGTGCTATATGAAGCACCCTGGGCAGTTTTCTCCCTATGGTGATAGACCAGGAACGTCTGGTGGTTGCTCAAGAGACCTCCTCGTGCAAAATGTCGTCTATCTCCTCCTTGGCTTCAAGATGGCGCCACATTACTGAGAGAAGAAGTCTTTTAAAGATTGCAACACACTTCAGACAGAATCCGGTTATTCTGACTTGAGAAAAGCACTCTGTTTATGACAACTGTTTTTATTACTAATGGCATTTAGTAAAATCCTTTTTAGAAGGTGTTTTTTTCTTTTTTTCCAACTAATTAGTGAAAACTCAACAAGGTGCATCTAAACCATCCTATGCCTTTCTTGAAATGTGCATTTTAAGAAGTTATCGTTAAACGACTTTTCTGGCTCTGCCACTTTTCAGGAGATTTAGAAAGCCTTATGCGCTCTATGTGTTTTTTCTTGAAACTCGTAATGCCTTTTTGAATGCTGTAAGCTGCGTCCCGTTATAAACGTGCTTCCCCTATGGTTGCATCTCTTTGAGAATACTGACGTTTTAAAGGAGCATCTCCATCATTAGATTTGCCTTTTGTTCTTTCTCTCTTTGGTGATTAAACTCAGCTCACAGGGCTTATATCTTCTCACCCAGGTATCAGCACATATTTTTCAATGTCTTCAGAAACCAAATGTTTTACTTGGAAATAGCTCTTCTGGGAATCTCTCTGGTTCTGGTTGGCCGCTTGCCTCAGTCTCCCCAGGCAGACAGTAAGCAGAGAATAGTGCTATTGACCCACAGAGGCAGGGCCTCCTGGCACGGCTGAGGACTCCTGGGGTTTGGAGGAGAAGCTTCCTGGATTTTCACAGTTTTTCAAATGACTGAGTTATTTCGGAGAGGTCATTTATCTTACACAGTTCCAAGCCCGGTTGCTAACCATTTTGCCCCTGCCGAAAAGTACCTTCTGTTTCACTTAGTCATTTTGATGGGGGATGTGGCACTCCCTCTTTCACAGGCTGTTACCACAGTAGCAGAATGCACAGATCAATAAGACACAGGTAACTCATCAATTGGCTCTGAAAAGTGGGGAAAGCGTATTCTTTACAGTTGACTTTGATTTGGCTTCTAAAGCCGAACGTGCTTTTAAAGAGCAAACTAATTGCCTTGAACTTGGGACTTCTAAAAATAGTCGAAAGGCTAATGTTGTAGATTTATTATAGTAGAACTTTTTAAAACTTATTAAGCATTCCAGAAAGGAGTAAAATGAAAACAAAATCCGACTTTTATCACACGTTTGCTTGTTGCAAGCACCTTGGTCAAATGTGGTGGTCTTTTGTCTCTGCCTTCCACATCGTCCATCGGTCTCAGGTCCTGCTTTCCCCGTGCCTCTAGAAATGTCTTCTTTATTTCTTAACATTTATAGGTTAGGAGAAACAGGAGCACCTCACGTTTCACCTCTAGGGTTTCTTCTCTTTGTGAAACTGAAGCCATTTAGGAAACCAGTCTGTGTCAAAATTATGTTCAAAAAATTCTCCTTATAATTGCAGTTTAAAAATTCCATAACTAAATGAGAGCATGCCTGAGACTGTCTTTCTGGAAGAAGCCCTAGCAATGAGTCTCTGTGCTTGGAGATGTTGCGATAGGTCTGGTGGGAGAATGGCTTTTCTAGAGAGAGAGACAAATGCATGAGGCCTGAAGATGAAGCTGGTGGCCTGGGCCTCAGGCCTCATACTGGGATTTGTGAATGCACTTATCTAGCCAGTGCCCGTTAAAATGTATATGGAAGACAGCAGGCTCTTGGCCCCAGGTCCAGTGGCCCACCGGGCAGGCCATCCCCCCTCCCTGTCCATCCTGCCTGGACCAGCTGCTGCCCACTGCACCAGGCAGAAGTCCATACAGTGGCACCCCTTACTTGGGGGTAGGAACCAGAGTCTTTGGGAAGATTTCGTTCCCTGAGTTCAGATCCCTTCATTCCTAGTGAATCAGGCTGTCCATCTGTCCTGGAGGAGTCCATCGCCAAATCATGCACGTGCATAGCCCCAACTGTCCTTGTGCCTTCACCTCTGACACATATCACAAGCACCTGGTTCGACCCAGGGAGGGACCACAGAGATTCTGGGGCTGGCCGGGGCCAAAGCTGCACTTACTTGCTCTGAGTTTTTGCATCAAGTGTGCCTCAGTGGGCTCAGTTTGACTCAGTAATAAAAAAAACTGAAGCCTCCCTTCCCCAGAAAGACACCAGCAGAATCGCATTGAGATCCTTCCATGAACTTGCATTTCCCTCGTCTGACTCCTTTTTTAAGTAAGGAATGCTATCCCCATTGTTTGTGGGGAAGCGATGTCAACCATGCTTGATGTAAAGTGTAGATAGAACGTGGGAAGATGGCCCATGTTTTGGATTTTAACCTCGCAGTCACTCCCTAGTGAAACCTGAGGAGTTCTGCACTTAGCAGGTGTACTCACTCCTGTTATTCGGCACAGTTTGTCTTAATTGAAAATGAGATTCACTTTTACAGATGATTTTCACGCTGACCCTCTGGAAGCCCATGTCTGTTTATTCATTTAGAGGCCTTTAAATGCTCGGGAGGAGGGAAGAAGACCCTTCCAAATGGACCATGGCTGACTCTACTGCTGTCCAGTGGGCTTGGCGATGGAGGGCACCATTGACCTGTCGGTTATCTGAGTCCCTTGTGTAACTGACCCCATTGTGAGGTTTTACTGGTCGTGCCTGATCTCCAAGTCTGGCTCTGTCATGTATCCTGTAGCCCAGCCACTCAAGCTTTTCAATCGTCACCTGAGGCCAGCACCTTCAGAGGAGTCACCATCTATGAGGACTGACTAGGATCTGAGCAGAAACAAACCCTTTGACTGCTCGAATTGCCATCCAAACCAGTTCTTCCTCAACGCCCAGGAGTAGCTGCAGACTAAGGAACCAACGTCTGCCTTCTCTGGCATCTTTTTCAAGGGGGACACATCCTCTTTACAGCATATTATTCCATAAGACCGGTTTAGGAACCGGGCCAGTTTCTGATTAGAATACAGGGCCCATGGGAAAGGGATCATCAGATATGGAAAAGATACTCCAAGATGAGTTTATCCCTTTTCACCTACATTATAAAAGTTAAAACTTATTTAACAAATTAGAAGAGGACATTTTCCCTTGGTAGTCTTTAAAAATGTGGAAATTGAAAGGACCAGGGTGAGCTCTTTTGTATATTTCTCGGATTCTCATTTATTAATAATACTCTTGTGTGTATCAATCATAATGAAATCATCAAGGGAAAATATTTTGCATGTATAAAGCTTTGTGAAAGTCTTTAAAAAATACCAAAGCTTGTCTGTTCCTTAGAATAAACCCAAGCCCTGATGAAAATAAACAAAATGAAGAGATTATGACTGGTATTGCCAAAAATGCCAAGTGGAACCAAGGGTCCTGCGTTAAAATGTAATTGCTAATGCATCAGAAGTGGGAGAGCATGCTGTTTGGTATCAAGCCCGTGGCCTCCATCCTTCCTCTAATTTGTGTAATCCTGGCTTCCACAATTCCAGGATCCTTCACTTAGGGGTAGGTCCCTGCCACATGCCTGACCATTCCTTCCTTCTTTGCTCATTTTACCATGTGTGTATTTTAACCTTGTATAAAAATAATGCATGAATGAGTCATGCACATGTATACATGATATATTTGACAAGTGGTGGTAAAAAAAAAACAAGTTTGGTTTGTGTTTTTGAAATGTCAATACATTTTGTGCCACTAACACTGTGATGTATAAAAGAGCTGTTTGAATGCCTTTTAATGTTGTGTTTTGTACTTTGGAATCATATGGAAAAGTTTGGTTTGTAATTTCAATACATATTTTAAATGTATTGTCTCTTACGTAGTTTGTCCCCCCCTTTAGAAGGGATTTCTTTTTAAAGATATTTTGGCTGGAATACAGGTTACTTTTTTTAAATCCTGTCTGGCTCCGTCTTTTGTACATATTTAGTTGACTACTGGCCTGAAGATTCAAAATGTTAAGAGGATTGGAGGTGGAAGGGAGAAGGGGTGGGGCGGGAGAGAGATCTCAGACCACTGAGAAAACAGCTCTTGTGTTGTGAGTTTTCTCTCTTAGGAGTCTTCTCAGCTCCCTGTACCAAAGGGATCCGGGTCGCTGGGGAAGTCGGCCCTCTCCTGCGCTCCCCGTCCGCTTCCCCCGGGGCAGGCCCAGTAGTGCAGCATCAGGAAAAATCTCTGCTGTGGGTGCTCTGCCTCCATGCACGAAGACAAGAACTCACAGACCTATCGAATTCTACGGGGATTTTATTTTCATAAAAATCAGTGGGTATTGTTTTTCTGCTGGGAAAAAAAGTACAATAAATGTGGATACTTCTTGTTTAATAGGAGAAATAATAGTAAGTCTCAGATCGGGGTATTTCACCTGGATTTTCATATGCCTCATCTAAACTTCTTGGAAGAATATATACCTCATTCATTCTCATGAAGTGAAAGGCTAGGAAAAGGCAGCTGTCATTTGTCCTGTGGTTTCATTTCAAAACCATCCTTAGAATTTTAAGGTGCAGATTGAGGGAGGTGCATGTTGTTAAGTGGGGATTCATCATCAGCAGTCAAGACTCAATAGCCTTGCTTCTAGCTCCTATTCAGGGGAGGAGGCAGATCTGGCAATTAGAATAAGGTGTGACAAATGCGATGGTGGGCGCAGGCACAGCACTTCAGCCAGGTGGGAGGTCAAGGAAGGCTGTCCAGAGGATGCAGTGTGTGAACTTGGTTCTACAGATGAGGAGGCATCAGTCAAGCAAGAATGAGGGCAAGAGTGTTCAAAGGAATGGCCTCATCCAACAAGTTCAAGGAGTTGGGTCTGACTGGTACTGTTAGGGATGGACTGTACGTGCCACCTCAGGGAGCACAGTGTGCGAGGCTTGGGAACTCACCCTTCATTCTAAAGCTGTGGGGAATATGTCACTTTCCTAGGGCTACCATAGTAAAGTTCCACCGACCGGGTAGCTTCAACAACAGAGATCTATTGTCTCACAGTTCTGGAGGCTGGAAGTCTACCATCAAGATGTTGGCAGGGTTGGTTCCTTCTGACGGCCAAGGGACAATCTGTTCCAGGCCTCTCTCCTAGCTGCTGGTGGTTTGCTGGCAATCTTTGGCTTTCCTTGGCTTGGAGCTGCATCACGCCAATGCCTGTCTTCATCTTCATATGGTGTTTTGCCTGGGTGCGTGTCTGTCTCTGTGTCCAAGTTTCCTCTTTATATGAAGATGCCAGTCGTATTGGATCAGGACCCACCCTAGACCGGTATGACCTCATCTTATCTTGATCATCTTCAAAGACCCTGTTTCCAAATAAGGTCATATCCACAGGTATTGAGGATGAGGACTCCACCATCTTTTGGAGGGACACAGCTCAACCTGTAACAGGGAGCACAGTCTGTGTGTGGACAGTCCTGCCCAAGCAAGACCAATCAGAGAAGGCAGCCAAGAACAAAAGGTGGGTTATCTTCCAGGATGGGGTCCAGAAGCTCCCGTTGCTGAAGCTCCCCACCCTGAAACATTTCTTCCCCACTCTGTTGAACCTTGGTTCTTTGAGCTAACCTGGAATGTGGGACTAGCCCCAGAGAACACTCTGCAGAGAAGCAATTACTTTTAAGCAAAATAAATCTATATGTGTGTGTATACGTAGGCACACATATTTGTTTCCAAAAAAGAAATATCTCTGTGCCATCACTCACCAACATTAAACACTCTTAGAGGAACCCAAATCACCAGGCGCTGGGGAGTGGGAAGAGTACTGACTTGGCCAGCACATGTGCACGCGGAAGGCGATTCTGAAACTGTGTGCAGGCGTTCCTTGGAGGAGAATATAACTGCTGATGTGGCCAGACCATGAGATGGTGTCAAATACTCCTTTTAACTGGGCTCTCTAAGCCAGTGAGTGACTCAGCCATTTAAAAATAGCAATCACTGCTCATTACTTGGTCTTTGCAACTCCTTCCCTGTCTACCATCACTCAGGGTGTGCCTTTTCGGGGTGGAGTCACCACTGCATGGTAGGCAGAGCATCGTGATCAGGAGTGTGCTGCTGTAGTCAGGGCGGCCTGGACTCAAGTCCCAGGTGGGTGATTTCTGGGCCATTGGACTCAGCCTAGAAGCATCTATTTCCTCATTTGAAAATGAAGGTAAAAAATACCTCACAGGATCTTTCTAGGGATAAATGAGGAAATGCAAGTAACTTGTAGAGTGTAGTGTTTGACAATATAAGTTATTAATGAATTCCATCTGTGATGTGGATGACGGTCCAGTGTACAATACTGGCTCACCGCCCCGCACTAGGACACAGTAGGACCCCCCCACCCCCCAAACACACACACACTGTTTTCATTCTAGGACGCGTGAGACGGGCAGGGTCTGACCATCCCTCCCTCCTACATCACTGCCAGGGACACTAGTGTGCGACTGTGTCGGACTCTGATTCATGCACAGAAAATGGGGTAAAATTCTCCATGTGGGAAAATCTGTCTTTGCAGGATTAAAAGTCGTTCACTTGTTCCCTCAGGTAATTACCTGAGTCTTTTCTTAACATGTGTTTTTATTCATTCTATTTCTGTTTTGACGTTGATTTAGAAAATCTGCTCAGAACGTACCCACACTACTGCATTTTTCACCACATTGAAGAGATCTAGCAGAGTGTTGTCTCTTCTCACTCCCGGGATCTGTTCACTTATCACTTTTATGAAAGGCCCAAAATGTAAAAGGGAATAAATTTCGAGAGCTTCTGACAATTAGACTCGACTGTTAGTTTCATCCAGGGATTTAGGAAATTAACATTATAATATGAGTTTTTCACGTTTGCATCACCTCCTCTTATTGTTTGACACACAGTAGGGTGGTATGAAATACCTGCGAGATGAAGGAATTAAACTGTTGCCAGGTGTGTGTGTTTGTTTGTGTGTGTGTGTGTTAAGGAAGGAGGGCCAATCATTTGGGGTCATTCGGTTAAAAAAAATCAGCCATTAAATTAGAACTGGAGGTATACAGACAGTCTAGAAGTAAAAGTCTCACAGTAGGAGTAAAACATCTCTGTTATGAATGGAGACCCTATTATGAGCCAGGCTCTTTGCTTACTGCCTTAGCTGGTTAATCCGATGCTCACAGACCTGCAAGGACGACTGTCTCCATATTACAGTGAGGACACGGGGTCCGGAGAGGCCAATGACACAAATGATACCAACAGTAAGTGGCAGCATGGAGCAGGGACCCAGGTCTGCCCTGCTGGACCAATGTGTTTCCCATTTCACTGTTTTCCTGTCCCCCTTTCCTGATCCACTCTTACCAACACGCGGAGACATCCCGCAGTGATGTGTGGTGGCCTGCTTGTTTTGTTCCTGGGAGAGTTAAAACTCTGTGTATGAAGAGAGTGTTCATTTGAAGACAGAAGACCCCGGTCCTACATATTTTCAAACCAGCCTGTTGAATGAGAAAAATGGCCGCAGGGAATCTCGAGGGGGGAGTAGTTCCTCTAAGGCACGCAGGCCATCTGGCATGCTTTCAGATACTGTAGACAAAATATGCTTCATCCCCACCCCCAAATTATCCCACAATGTCCATTTGGGACCAGCATTGGGCCGGACGTGGTGCTCACTGCGGGACAAACACTGTCCTCAGATGAATGCTCTGTTCAGTTGAAACCGATTCTCACAACAACCCTGGGGAGGAAAATATTATTGTCAAAATTCTTCACTTTACAGGCAACAAATAAATGGCAAGCAATAGGATATATTGGAGTATATGAGGAAGCCATTTGGTGTAAACCTAATTCAGCCTGACTTTGTTTTTCCAAGAGGGCCTGACGTGGCCGTTGGGCATGCATTGTATATCTGCTTTAAGCATTTGCTGTGTCCCAAAGACAAGAACAAATGCCCTCATGATAAAGGCAACTTCCCCCACTTTGGCATTTCCTTAAGGATAAGCAGCTCTCCCTAGGCTAGGAACTGATTGCCGCGCTCACCTGTGACCAGCCAGCTTGAGACAACAGACCTGCTCCCTGCTGTGTGCATCGAGACAGCAGACTACCAGCTGTGTCCTCAATCGCTGTGCCGACAGAGCAGTCTCCTGACTGTTGTAAAAGGGACATTTCAATCCTATGTGAAACATGCTCTTTGAGGGTATATAACCACTCTGTACACCCCGCTTCTTTGGTGCCCTTCCCTCCTTGGGGAAGGAAGGCCCTGGGCTATATGGTCTTCACATTTGGCTCATAATAAACTCACCTCAATTTTAATTTATAGATTGGGTATGGATTATTTTTGTCAACATAAGTGAAGAAGTCGTTAAGGAAGGCTCAGAATCATTAAGAGTCTTGCCCAATAATAGTAATTATGGACTGTGGAGCCAAGGCTTAACCCCACAACTCGTTAAAACAAAACTCACTCAGGACTTTAGCAAGATACCCAAAAGCCACTTCAAGGCCAAGGGCCAGTGGTGCCCAGAGGAGGCTCCCTTCAGAAAGGATTTCGGAGGGGTGGGAATAGGGCATTCTTGCCAGGAACTAAGGGGATTAACAACAGTATGAGGACTTTTCCAAACCGTGCTTCCATGACAGCAAAGTCCTTCATGGGAAAGGATCATTTGGAAATTGACATTCCCCACAATCTGAAATGGAATAAAAACAAGATCCAGAATGAAACTGAAAACCACATAGGTAAAGGTTGGCAAAAGCCACTCAGCCAATTCTGGAAGAGATTCAGTTTACCCAAAGGTCAGGTGTGAATGCACAGGCGATGCCAGACACACAGCTGACATGGATGCCATTGGCTCTTCACTGGACACCACTCTGCAGAGCCAATAACAACAAGGACACAAAGAGATGCAAAGCTTCCTGGCTCCCATCCTCACAGGGCTCAAGGTCAAGTGAGATTTACAGTGTGAACAAACTACAGTGCTGTAGGAGAGGATGGGG